AACCCCATCTCCCAGCCACGTCCACGGAAGGAGCTCTTCTGTGTCGTGGAAGAGCTACCGAACCACGTAGGACAGCCGCCCACCTGGGCTGAAAGCTGCTGTCACTGTGTGAAGGGGCTCCTGGAGGGAGGAGGCCCCATGTATGCTTGGGGCATTCCGGGAGGTGCAGCAGACCACAATCCATGTGCCAGGCCACGTCTGACTGCTCCCAGCCGTGACACTGCCTGGTCCTGCTCCCGGCTGCACAGCGTCTGCCCGGTGCCCAGTCCTGTCCTGGCTCACCCGTCCCCTCGCCCACGTGTGGCCCAGTGCCCTGCTGGCTCCCAACCGAGGGCTGCAGCTGCAGGGAAGGGACGTGGACTGCTCCGTGCTGCTGCTCCGTGCTGCTGCTCTGTGCTGCTGCTCTGTGCTGCTGCTCCGTGCTGCTGCTCCGTGCTGCTGCTCCGTGCTGCTGCTCCATGCTGACACGAAGTGCTGCAGCCCAGCCGGCCATCAACTTGGGGCAGGGCTGTAAGTGGGATAAGATTTGCAGGAGATTATTTCCTGGAGCCGTCTGGCCAGCAAAGATTAGGATGTTCTGGCAGAGCTAATTACTCTAACAAGCATCTGCTGCTGGGACTGCAGCAGGCTGGGATGGGAGAACCGGAGCTGCCAGCGGAGCTGCCAGTATGTCCCAGGATGTCCCAGGTGGGGCCGTGCCGCCTCCAGTGTGCCGTAGGTGCCGTTCCTATCAGCTGGTCAGGATTGCCTGTGATTGGGCAATGCTGGAGAACATCCAGAGTCAGCCTCAGCCACAGCCCTGGCATCGCGTTTGTAACGTCAGGGAGATGGAGGTGCTGCGGTGAGTGATCAAAGCAGCTCAGGGGAGCAGCGGCAGGCAGGGAGCCCCGACAGCCCGCGCAGGGGGGCTGCATCTGCTCCGGGCTGCGGCAGCAGGGATCGCAGCACAGCTGGGGGTGGCACCACACCGCGAGTGCAGGCGTGGTTCTGCTGATTAACAGCTACAAGAACTGCAGGGCACGCCCTGAGAGGCGGAACGTGGAGTGTTTTAGGGTCATACAAGACTTATTATGGGATGTGAGAAAAGAGAGGGATCGGTGCACTTTGGAGAGGGGAAATCAAGTGTGAAAACAAGGAGAAAGGGTAAAAGCAGCTGTAAATGGATTGGTGCTCGGCGCATTTGTTTGGCTGTACCCTTCACTGGGCAACAGCACAGCCTGCCCCGGCTGCTTCTTAAACCCCACTGCAAAGGATTCTCCTGGGGCTCTATTCTGTGCGTCCATGGAAGCTGTGTCAGCAGGTTGGATCACATGTCCCAGGGCCCGCAGTGCCAGCCTCCTAGCAGGTGGATGCTCGGGGTCATCGCGTGTCCTTCCCGGCAGGCTTATTCTGGGCTGGGCGATGGGCAGAGTGCCCTGGGAGCTGTGCTGAGTGAGCCTGGGCAGCTGCAGCAGGGAGGGAGCAGGGCAGGCCAGAGAGCACAGAGCCTGGGGTCAGCTGAGGCCCCCAGGGGTGCCTGTGTGCCCGTGTAGGAGAGCTGCAGGTGAGAGTGTCCAAATGCCAGCTGGAGTGGGGCTGTCCCTCGAGGGTCCGTATGCAGGGTCTGTAGCTGAACTACCTTCATCACAATACTGAAAATCACACCCACAGGTGAAAAAGATTCCTGCCCAAGTTGAAGACCCCTCCCCTGAGGGGTTTGATTCTGGAAGTACAGAGTCAGCGTTGTTACAACTGCGTGTAAATCACTGACCAATCACCGCCGGGAGGATAGGCTGGAAAAACTACCAACTCTGTGTCTCTGTGCACAAATATAGCACTGATGGTTCCATTGGGTGTGCTGGGTTTGTGGGAAACCACTGCACAGCCAGGCTTGGGCAATCCTGAAATAAACAAACGATGTCTGCTCACTGTATGATCATGGATTGCGCAGACGGAGCAACGAAGCTGCCTTTGGGACAACACGACCTGGATGCATGGAGCAGTGCAGCCTCGCCTGCCGGGCTTGGCAGCCACTAAGAGAAAAGCCTGCAGCTGCTGAGAGGAGACGTGCAGCCACGAGGAGAGGAGATGTGCCCGGTGTGGCCATGCATGCAGATGCAGGCATCTTGGCGAGGGCAGCAGCCAAGCCTGCACGTGTGCAGCACTGCAGGGGAGGGCACAGCTGCAGCACACCTTGCTGGAGAAGCTGGGCGTCCAGACCAGGCCCACAGTGTGTGTAATCTCTGCATCCTCTGTTGTGCTGAAGTCTGAAATTGCTGCATGTCCTTCGTTGGTCAAGGCCAGGAGGCAGCTGGGCTGGGCAGCGGGGATCCTGGAGCTGCCTGCTCCCAGGGCAGAAAGCAGCACCACGCTGCCTCCGTGCCCCCAGCAGTCCCAGCTCTGCCACAGGATTCCAGGGACAGGTCCACAGCTTCATGGTGCTGGGTTCCCCAGCGCCGCCTCCCATCCCCCAGCCCTGACAGTGCTTCTCCACAGCTCCTGTAGGGCCACAGTGCCAGCATGGCGTGCACCCACAGCAGCAGTGATGATGCTCATCATGGCTGCATCGGGCCCTGAGCAACCTGTTGTAGCTGTGGACGTCCCCATTCATTGCAGGAGAGTTGGACTGGATGACCTTTAAAGGTCCCTTCCAACTCTGAGGATTCTATGATTCTCTAAGCCGAGCTCTGTACAAACAAGTGTGGTTTATTAAGGCATTTCTTTGAGAAGTTGGCACTTGGGTCCAGGCTGTGCTGGAGCAGCCCAGTGTGCGGGCCGACAAGCAGCGCCCAATACATGCAGCTCAGCGAGACACGATACAAAAGTACAAACAAAGTAGAAAACAGGAATCATAGTACAATGTGTAAAAATAAATAAATGGAGGCTCGGCTCCTGGCTGGGCTCAGCAGCACATGGCTGCAACCCCCACACCGAAGAGGGGCCACGTGTCTGACCCTACCCTATGTGGCGTGCAGGGGTGACCCATCCCAACATGCAGAGAGGAGTGGGGCTGCTCAGCCACCCCAGCACTGCGCAGGGCTCACGCAGCCCCTCAGGGCGCCTCCGGACCATCCCTGTGCCGAGCAAGGCAGGACATCCTCCCCTCCCAGAGCCACCTCAGCCCCCCTTGGGCCTCAGGCATGGCCCCGTGGCCTCCCCGGTGCCACCTGATTCTGGCCCTCTGTTGTCAGCCAGGGCAGCTCCCAGGGCTGCCAGCGCTGGGGACCTGTGGGCACCATGGGGTCATGGGGTCTGGGGGCAGCGTGGTGCTGGGGTGCAGGGCTGTGCTGGGACCTGTGGTGTGCAGAGATGGGGCTGCGGGCACAGGTGGTTCTCAGTGGGATGCACAGGGGCGGTGGGTGAAAGTGGTGGTTTTTGGCTGCTGTGATAAATATTTGGGGCTGGGGTGACCGACGAGGGTGCAGCCAATGGTGCGCACAGGCTTTGCACTTGAGGCTACAGAGTGGCTCTAGGAAAAGTGTGATAGGAAGGAAATCCCAAAATTCTGAAAGCAGCCCCAGATCCCCTTCTCAGACAGCTGGGGGTCCTCCCAGGCTGTGCTTTTGGGGCTGCCGTGGCTCGCGTGCTCGGCTCCTGATCCTCACTCTGCACCTGTATCTGAGTGTGGGTCACAGCACCCTGAGCACCCAGGGCTGCAGCGCCTGGCGCAAGGACAGCAGTCCCAGGGCCATGCCACGTGCTGTGAGCCGAGGTGAGCGCTGCACGAGGGCTGACACCGATTGTGAGCTCATGCCAGCTGCGAGCTGACACCAGCTGCAAACTGCTGGTATGAGGATGGGGACCAGCCCCAAGGATGTGTGGCTCTGCCTATTCCCACAGTGTGACATGAAGGAGCAGTGCAGTGCAGCTGCTGCACAGACGGCTGGGCACAGGGGCTGGGGATTCTGGCAGCCCCCCACGCCGTGGAGGTGGCCCCGCTCATCCCGATGAGCACGGCAGGCTCCTGGGGAGCCCTGCTGCCCGCATCCCACGCTGTACCAGGACAACAGGTTGGCTGCCACCGCATCAGCCTCAGGCCACATGGCTTTTTGGGGTACCCCCCATGCTCCCCTGCAGCTGCAGGCTGGCCAGCAGGCCATGGGCAGACGGAGTGAGAGGAGGTCACAGAGCAGCTCTCCCGGTGTCTTTCTCAGGGCCGGGCCATCCTGGGGTCGGCTAATGCAGTTCTGGCTTCTCCTGCCAGCAGTGCTGCCAGCCCAGTATGCAGACAGTGCCTGTGCCCAATGCCAGCCTGCAGCCCCAGAGGGCAGCCATGCAGCCATGCCCCAAGGCCCTCAGCCCTGCAATAGTGAGCCCTTAGGTGGGGCAGATGCAGTGGTGGGAGATGAAGGGGCCTCCAGGACCATAACAGATCCATTTTCCCCCCACCAGCCACGGACAGGCAAGCAGGTAATGGGCACTGCCGTTTGCTCCCTGTCCAGCTAGGCCTGGGATGTGTTTCAGACCATCAGTAAGCAGGGTCACCCACGCTGCTTCCCGCAGACCTGCAGGCTGCTGCAGCTGAGCAGTGACACCCTGTCCCTGTGAGCTCCCACGGGGACAGGGCCGGCCGGGACGGGCCAGCCCCTCACTGCTTCTGGGCTGCTGCACGGCTTGGGCAGGTGGCCGGGACAGAGCAGGGGCTGCAGGTGGCAGTGCTCTGACCCAGCAGGGCAGGGAGCGCCGCTCTGCTCCCAGCCCCTCTTAGAGCACGGAGTACCACAAAGCAGCAGCGTGCCAGGCACTGGGACACCACGAGCAGTACAAGGAACCGTGCCTTAGGGTGCTGGCGCTGGGCTCAGCAGTCCACAGGGCACCAAAACCAGCACCGAATCTGCCGGACCACAGAGAGCGACGAGAGTCAGCAGTCCCAAAGCACGGGGGAGCCCCCAGCACGTGGGGCCCTGGAATGGGCAAGGTGCCGGGAAAGCCAAACCAGTACCGTGCTGAGCGGCCCTCGGCCTGGCCCCGCTCTCGGCCCCGTGTCTGCCGGGGAGGGCGGGGAAGTCCGTGGGCCCAGGCCTAAATCCTGAGCTCGGCCTCCTCAGAGGGCTCCAGTGAGTGCTCGGCGCTGATGGTGGAGGCGGAAGGCCCCTGTGAGATGCCAAAGGGAGAGACCACAGGGGAGCGGGCGGCCAGCGGGGACAGCGAGGGGGAGAAACTGGGTGACATGGCGGAGGACGAGATGGAGCCCTCGTGGCTGATGGGCGAGCGACGCAGCGACGATGGGTGCGGGAAGGTCCTGCCTGCTGGCGGCTTGGGGGGCACGGACTTGGCGCCCGGGTGGGCCACAGAGGTGATGAGGGGTGGGGGGTCGATGCGGGGCTTGGGCTCTGCCTTGGGCTTGGTCGGGAAGGGCTTGCGCAGGGAGCTCTCATCCTTGAGGCGGGCGATCTCCGTGAAGACGCTGGCCAGCGGCTGGAACTGGGGGCACCAGTTCAGCAGGTAATCCCAATTGTAGCTGCCACGGAGCTCCTCGTCGCTGGCCACGATGGCGGTGAGAGAGCCTTCCACAGAGGGCTTGCCATCCTCTGGGAAGGTGTAGTCCTGGGGCTGGGAGGAGACGCTGAGGCCGCAGCGCACGCCGAGAAAGGCGCTGCCTCCCCCATCCTCGCGGTACAGCTGCGACGTGGGCCCTGGGAGCAGCAGCCCGGAGCCCTTCTTGCTCTTGAACCACTGGGAGCTCTCCAGGGCGGCCGGCTCGCAGGAGATGTCGGACAGCTGGTCGGCATCCTGCTGGATGCCGGAGTCGGGGCCGCGGGCCGAAATGTGCTCCTGCATGGACGCTGTGATGCTGGCCACGCGTGGGTACTCGTTGATCATCCGGATCTCGTCGTCCTCAGCTGCCTCGGCGGAGCCTCTGCCACTGGAGTGCGAGGGGTCCAGGGAGCCGCCCCGCGTGTACGGCCCCGCTGGCTCCCCCCCCGTACCCCGGCAGCGCTTGGTGGTAGATGTGCTCAGCCCCGGGGAGTGCCGGCTCCTCGTGGCCCAGCTTTTGCAGAGAGCTGCTCTGCACGTGGGCCAGCGGCCGGTCCCCCTCCGTCTTCTCGTGGCTCCGGCGGTGACGGGAGCGGACCAGCGCCAGCACGATGGCCACAGCAGCCAGCACGACCACAACGCCCAGCGAGGCGGCCACGGCCACCAGCAGCAGGTTGAGATCTGGAGCCAGGCCGAAGGAGGTGTGCGTGACGTCGATGGTGACCTGTGCAGAGGCTGAGCGGGAGGCTGGCAGCGGGCTGCGCGCCTGCACCTCAAGGCTCATCTCACGGGGCTCCCTCTTGGTGCGCCCGGCCCCTGCCTGGGGCTGGCTGTCCACCCGCAGGTAGATGGTGCCTGTAGTTTGGTTGATGGCAAAGTACGGCGAGGGCTTGGCCAGGTTGTACAGCACGACACCGTCGGCCCCCTCGTCCTCATCTGTTGCCAGGACCCTCCCAATGCTCTGCCCTTTGTGGGCACCCTCAGGGACCTCAAAGCTGAAGGAGGGGCTCAGGAAGATGGGATCGTACTCGTCCTCCCCGGTCACCAGCACCCGGACGGTCACCGTAGCAGAGGCGTTGCCGGCATCCGTGGCCCTGACGAGGAGCTGGAAGGCTTTGGCTCGCTCATAATCGAAGGTGAGCCGGGAACGCAGCTCCCCAGAGCTGCTGTTGATGGCGAAGGCGTCCCGGCCCTCTGCCACACCAGGCCCCCCCACTGGCTGCTCCAGAACTGCGTAGTGCAGCTCCCCAAACACCCCGGTGTCGGTGTCGATGGCACGTAGGGTGGTCACAAGCGTGCCCGGAGGCAGGTTCTCCCGCATGCTGGCACTCAGCACCTCCACTGGGAAGTACGGCTTGTTGTCATTGACATCCTTCACCTCAATGGCTACAGGCACCAGAGCGAAGTGCCCGCCTGGCACATCCATGGCCTGCACCACAAGAGCGTGCGATGCCTGCGTCTCCCGGTCCAGGGGCCGTGCCAGGCACAGGGCACCTGTGCTCTCATGGATCTGGAAGAGCCCGTGCTGGTCACCTGAGCTGATGGTGTAGTGAACGTGGCCGCGGGGCCCTGAGTCGGCGTCGTGGGCCGTCAGACGGAGCAGCTCTGTGCCAGGAGGCGTGCTCTCGCTCACTGCCGTGCGGTATTCGGCTCGGGCGAACACGGGTGGGTTGTCATTGACGTCCTGCACCGTGATGAGCACAGGCACCGTGGTGCTGCGCTGCGGCAGGCCCCGGTCCAAGGCAGCCACGGTGAGATTGTAGACCGGGATGGCCTCGAAATCTAAGGGCTCCACAAGCACCAACGCACCCTGTGTGCGTAGCTGCCCACCTGCCCAGGCCACCCGGCTCTCCACCTGGAAGGCATTGCCACCGTTGCCACTGACAATGGTGTAGTCGAAGCCGGCGTTCTCTCGGGAGAGGTCAGCATCGCCTGCGTCCAGCGTCAGCACAGTGGTTCCTGGCCGCAGGTCCTCAGGGACGCTGGCGTTGTAGTGTGGCACCTGGAAGATGGGGCTGTGGTCATTCACATCAAGCACCTGAAGCTGAACCGTGGCCCAAGACGAGAGGCTGGGGGAGCCGTGGTCACGGGCCTCCACCACCAGTTCCAGGGTGGGCTGGTTGGCATCAAATTCCACCGGTCGGATGGTGAACAGGGTCCCTGTGAGGGCACAAAGGCAGAGTCAGCATAGGGGGTCAGCAGGGAGCAGGGCAGGGTGTGAGGGTGGTCAGGGTTATTGGCTGCAGGGACAGGCGTGCGGGATGCTTGATCTGCCTCCCTGGCCACTGCAGGCCTGGTGAGGGGGGAGCATGAGGGCCCCTTCCTCTGCAGGAGCTGCTGGAGCAACCCACAGCGTGAGCCCCCCCATAGCAGCCAGCCCCACGCACCGTTGCTGGGGTCAATTGCAACGTCAAGGCTGGGCACGGCCAGGTGGAAGGTGATCTCCCCATTGCTGCCCGAGTCCATGTCAGTGGCGCTCACGGTGAGAAGGATGCTCCCTGCAGGAGTGTGTTCTGGCAACGTCACCTGGAAGAGGAGGAAGCTCTGATCAGCACCGCTCTTCATGTGGGCACTGTCCCCGTTCTCCTGGAGCTGGCCAGCAGGGATGGGAGAAAGCCTGGAGCTGGCTAGGGCAGCCATGACGGAGTAACCCAGTGCAACGCTAGCCAAGGCCTTCCCCACCTCTGCACCAAGGCCATGGGTGGAGCCTGCAGGCACCTGTCCCACATGCATAGCATGCAGCCTCGTCTGTGTGACTTCTGAGCTTCTAGAGCATCCAGGTATTGACCTTTTTCTCTGCTGATCCCAGTGCTGTCTGCTTGTTTTCAGCCTTCTGACTGCAGTGACAGCAGGAGGGGTGCTGGGATGCGGCCCAGAAGGACGGGGACCAGGATAGGCTCAAATCCATCCTCCAAAAAGTGCTCTCTGTCTGCTACACGCGTGCTCGTGCGCGAGTGCAGGCAGTACCTGGTAGAAGGCCTGGCTGAAGGCTGGAGCGTTGTCATTCATGTCCTCCACGATGACGGTGAGGTTGGCCTCGGTCTCGTGGCGGCTGTCGGAGGCTCGCAGTGTGAGGCTGTAGCGGCTGCGCTGCTCGTAGTCCAGCGGCCCCGTCAGGGCGATGCGTCCCCCATAGCGTAGCACACTGAACGTTCCCACAGCATCACCATCCAGCAGGAGGGTGTAGGAGAGCGCCGGGCCCGAGTCCACATCGTTCCCCGTCAGCTGGGCTATCTGGGTGCCAAGCAGCATGTCTGTGGAGAGGTGAGGCGTGAGCCAGCATCCCCGTCTCCTCAGAGGCACTGGCTCACGTGGTGGGAAACCTGAGCACTGGGGACAGCAGGGAGATGCTGAGGTGAAGAGGCAGGTGCTGGGAGTCAGGCCGGGGATGGGGCACGAATGAGGGCAGGAAGCTGGCGGGGCGGGGGCGCGCAACCAGAGCCCTCCTGGTTTGGGGCCAGGGAGGCCAGAGCTGAGTTCAGATGGTTCCCTCAAGACACAGAGCTGCACAACCCGCGGGCACCAGGACGTCACAAATGGGCAGTGCTGGAGGCTCAGAGAAGCTGAGTCTAAGGGCCAGCACAAGCCAGCCCTTGGCAAGGGAACAGGCCCACTGGGTGCTTCTGTGCCACCCACAGGCGTCCACCACAGCCCAGCTCCTGCTGTTAGTGACACGTTACCTCATAGGGCTGAGAGGCACTTACTTTCTGGGACCCGCACCTCCCAGGGAAAAGGAATGGTGGGGCTGTTGTCGTTGATGTCCATCACCACAACTGTCAGCGTAGCAGAACCTACGAGAGGGGGTGTCCCTCTGTCCATCGCTGTTACCACCAAGCTGCAGGAAAGCACAAAAGCAAAGCAGGAGGGTCACAACCACATGTCAGGAGCAGTGTGCACACAGCATCTGGAACAGGAGGACGCTGCACATGTGCACAGGTTGGAGCACGTAGTAAAACTGTGCACAACTGGAGCGCATGGGGCAATGGATGTGTACAGAGCATCTGGAGTGGGTCAATGGATGTGCACCTATCAAGAGCATAGGATGCACATCTGGGTGTGTATTTGGAGGGCAGTGGGTTTTTGTCCCGCACCTGGAGCATATGAGCAGGCCGTGCATGTGGGCACAAGTGTCTGGAGCATCTGGTAGGCAGTGCATTAATGCACAGACATGGCACGTAGGCATCCACAGCTGGCCGCTTTTGCAAGGGGACAGCAGTGGATGTTTTCAGTCTGTGAAATGGGCAGGAGGCTGGGATGTGCATGGGAGAAGAGCTGGGCAGAGCAAGTGGGGTGAGCAGGGGACAGACAGGGGACAGATGGCAGCATTTGGGGCGTATTTGGGAACTAGGGAACATGTGGAGCCTCGGTTTGAGTGGAGCAGCGGTGGGTACGTGAATGGAATGAATATTTCCTAGGTATTTCCTTGCCTTGGAAAAGGGGAGACAGACGTGGAGCGGTGAAGCATGGATATGGCAAAGGGAATGAGGTCTGGGTGGGGTGGTGGGAGTTGTTCCTTGTATCTGGGCCATGCTCGTGCACAGAGGTAGGGGAGGACGTAAGCTCATCTCACATAGCTGTGGTTAGACTGGAGGATTAAAGAACCTGTATGTGTAGTGAGGGACCCAGAGGACTTGGAATGAATGCAGGGGGACTTGCAGGATGGTTGAGGTTGACGCATGGCTGCTGGAGGACATGTGGTAGGGCAGCAGGGTGCAGTGTGTGAGAGTGGGTAGAAACTGAACAGATCTAACCTGGGTTAAACATGCAGGAAAGGAAATGGATGCAACTACTGAAGAGTCCACTGCCCCCTCCACAGCCTGCTCGGATTTGCAAAGGCCAGGCTGCACGGAGCTCAGGCTCATCTCATGGCCATCTGTCACACCCTCGTTTGATACCCAGGTCACCACTTAGTCCTGGTTTCTGCTGTTTGGCAACAGCTTGGTGTGGCACCAAGCAGCAAAGTATCCTCCGCAACCCTGGGGCTGCTGCTCCTGTGTCACTTTCATACCTAGGGTACAAGTTGGTCCGGCCCTACTCACCGGGTCTGGGACCAGATCTCCCTGTCCAGGATGGCAGCAGTGGTGATCGTGCCGCTCTGAGGATCGATGTGGTACAAGCCTGTCATCGGCAGGGACTGGTTGATGGCGTAAGTCACCTGCCCGTTCATTCCCTGATCCAGATCATCTGCTAGGACCTGCAAGGCCATCGGAGAGATTCAGCAGTGCTGTTTAGAGCCCTGTAAACAACGGATCTGCAGAGCAAGACATACGGATCCACAGGTGCCAGCCTTAGGCACAGCCCCCACCTCCTCCTGGCACAGCGGCCAGGGGAACCACTGTCCCTGTTTTTGCCCCCAGTGCTACCTGGATAACTGGGGAGTCATAGCTCTGGGACTCCCAGATGAATGCCACGTAGTTCTGCAGCTGGAAGCGTGGCAAGTTGTCATTCACATCTTGCAGGTTGAGGTTTATGGCCATAAAGCCAAAGGAAGCCGTTGTCTCTGCCTGGACCACAAGGCGCAGCCGGGGGCTGGCCTCAAAATCCAGGCTGCTGGAGTCCTGAACTGAGATGGCACCTGGAGAGACAGCAGGGTGGGGGGAGAAGGGGCAGGTGATGCACCAGCATGCCCAGCCCTCACCTCTGTTGTTCCCCTGCACTTAGTCCATCCCTCCATCAGTCTATCCATTCTCAAACAGGAGCACACTGAGCTTCCTTCAAACCAAAAGCCTTCTCACGAGCCACACTGAGCTGCTGTGCTGGTAAATTCTGCACAGTGCTCGGGACAGACACCTTGCATTGGCATTAAAGCATGCAATAGTCTTCCCAGTGGGGACACATCTGGTATAGAATCATAGACTCCTCAGTGTCAGAAGAGCCTTTAAAGGCCATCCAGCCCACAACCCTGCACTGCACAGGGACACCACAGCTCCATCAGGTTGCCCAGGGCCTGATCCAGCCTCACCTGCAAAGTCTCCGGAGATGGAGCACCAACCACAGCACTGGGTAACCTGCTTACTGCCTCACCACCCTCACCATAAAATATTTTTTCCTTACATCTAACCAAAATCTACCCTCTCTGAGCTTGAAACTGTCACTTTAGATGAGAACTGCCCCATGTCGAGCCCCATACTGCAGAGCTAGCTCATCAAGCCCTAGCCTGACGTCAGCTATCTGCACTGTTTGTCTAGGCTGAGTCCATACAAAGAGACTGAAGGGCTGCAAACAGTTCTTGCAAGGAGCCTGAGGACACACATCCACATAAGCATGGGCTCTGCCCATGACACATTGCTGTCCCACCCAGGAAGATCATGGGGCTCCTAAAGGATCTACTAAAACAGAGCCAGGTAATTAGTGCAATTGCACTAATTGCACTAATTGCACTAATTGCAATTGCAATGGCATGAGGTTCAACAGAGGAAAATGTCAGGTTCTGCACCTGGGACGGAGTCACGTTGGATGCAGGCACAGGCAGGACAGCAGCCCTGCAGGAAGGAACTCAGGGCTGTCAGTGACTGCAGGCTCAGTGTGAGCCAGCAGTGTGCATCTGGGCTGCACTAAGAAAGCACAGCCAGGCGGTCAGAAGAAGTGATTCTCTGCCATATTTAGCACTGGTGTGGCCTTGCCTTGACTACTGTGTGCAGTTCTGGGCCACACAATATAGAAGTACGCCAAGTTACATGGAAGCATCCAGATGAGGGCAACAAAACCCATAAGAAGGACTGGAAGACAAGGGGAGAGGCAGGGTGCATGGGAACAGGCAGAGCTGGGCATGGGGAGGGTCAGGCTGGGCATTAGGAAAAACCTCCTTATCACAAGCTGGTCAGACACCAGACCAGGCTCCATGGAGAGACGCTCGATGCCACATCCCTGCTGGTGTTTGGAGGCTTTGCATAACGCCTCAATTGTAAGCTGTAGCTTTTGTTCATCCCTCTGGTGGCTGGGGAGCTGGATTCAGGGGTCTCTGTAGTTCCCTTCTGCTCTGTTCTATGCTATGCTATGCTGTTCTCTACTAATGACTGGCAGCATTCCCAGTGATGCATCCAAACATGAGGAGGAACTGACTCGGTGCTGCAGTGCAGCTTAAAGCCAAAGTGTGCCACTGCTGGCAGCCGGGGGGGCTGGGGAGCCACACAGAGCTGCCCCGTGCCTGCCCCATCTTCATGGTGCTCCAGAACCTGCATACGGTCACAGTGTGCAGCCTGCTGCCCAAGGAGGAAGCAGAGATGTGTTTCCCAGGCAGACAAATGAGACCTGAGGGAAAAATCCTTCTGGGCACTTTGGTGGAGGAAATGTTTCCTCGCTGACATGAAGTCACACTGCCACAGAACCGAGGCACAGCCAGGGCATGTCCAGGATGGCTGGGGAACTGCTGGCAGCGACAAGCCGGGATCTGACAGGACAGGGATCACACAGACGTGGCAGGGGATTTGTGTGGCACCGCTGAGCTGGGGCCCTTTGGCTTGGAGGAGACTGAGGGGTGAACTCATCACTGTTTATGCAAAGGCTGCGTGGCAGGAGAATGGAACCAGGCTCTTCTCAGTGACGTCCAATGGTGGGACAAGGGGCAAAGGGTGCAAGATGGAACGGAGGAGGTTCCACATAAATATGGGAAAAACTTCATGGTGAGGGTGAGAGAACACTGGAATGGGCTGCCCGGAGGGGTTGTGGGGTCTCTTTCTTGAGACATTCAAAATCTGCCTGTATGCCTGTATTCCTGTGTGATCTGCTCTGGGTGTTCCTGCTCCAGCAGGGGGATTGGACTCGACGATCCTTCAAGGTCCTTTCCAACCCCTGTCATTCTGTGATTCTGTGACTGCTGGCCTGTGAACCAGGACTTTTCCAACTTGCCACCCCATCAGCCCCTCTTGCACTTCACACAGCAGCTCCAGCTCAGCCCCACTTCTCCTTTTGCATGCAGCATCAGGCGGGCAGACTGCTATGGCAGTGTGTGAACCCCTTCACAGGCGGCAGTCGCTGGGACTCAGAACACACAGTGGACCACCAATAGGTGCAGCTGCTTTCCACAAAGACCTCTGTGAATCTGACTGAATTTCCAGCACCTGCCCTTTCTTTGTCTCTGGGTTTCAGGAATTGCACTGTGGCAGCTGCCAAGCTGTGGTTGGAGCTGGGATGACTCTAGGAGTGACAGAAGCACTGCAATGAGGCACACGGGGAGGTGGAACCCAGCACTCCGGGCAGGCAGGGTGCAGGCAGGGTGGGTCAGCTGCAGCAGGAGGTCTGCAGTTGTAGCTCAGCTTCCTCAGGGCTGGGGCTGCAGACTGATGTGAGGCTGGGACGGGTGCTGTGACCTGGTCTGGCCTCTTCCCCATGATCCCAGTGTTCAGAGGCCTCTTCACAGCAGCAGCACAGGGTAATGAGTGGCTTGCAGTGACTGCAAGGTGACTGTAGAGCGGCTGAAGGGACACCTGATGACACAGACACTGTGGCTGGCAGCTGTTAATAGGGGTGCTAATGGTCTGCATGCCGTGCCATACTGCAGGCAGCTCACAGGGACCTGCACAGTGGCCATGAGCTCAAGCACAAGCACTGTGTCCAGAATGGTCTGGAATCCTGTTCCAACCCCAGTCATCCAGCAGGCTACAAGAAAATTGCATTTTCACAAGAAGCTCCAGCTTGACCTTTGTGTCTGCAGACCTTCTTATATACCAGCCTCTTCCAAACTGTAAGGCAAAAAAGGTCCCCCCTCCCCCTAGACTCAGCCAGGACTTCCTTGATGTCAGGGGAAATGTAGCCCTTCCAAGGCTGCCCTTTGAAGCTTGTAGTGCAACCAACACCAGCTTGCCTTGCAGCACCCTGCAGCCTGCCTCACTTCTCTGCTGGGCCATCAACCCCCCACAAGCACCACTGTGATGTTCAGTGTCTGCTGACTGCTCAGGGCACAGTGGTGCAGAGATCAGAAATGTCCACAGGTCAGTGAGCTGCTCACCATTTTTGTCACCTCTGGGACCACGCAGCCATAACCACGCAGCACAGCACACTGTCACCTATAAGGCATGGCAGCCCAGGTGCCTGGCTCTGAGATCCCACCTGGGCTGTGTTGTTTGGCCATGGCTGGCTGTCTAAGGCAGGGGCACATCCAGATCACCTCTTAATGTTGTGGCCTCTGCTAACTCCTGAGCATGGCATGCGAATTTTTTAGGAAAAGTCCAATTAGCAGGGACCAGTACTTTGCCAGGAGCTGTACCAGCCTCCTCTGGACACTGATGGGATACTAACACTATTAGATTTAGTAGGATAGAGGTGTAAACTGCATTCCTCTGCCTTTGGAGGACTCTGAGCGCTGTGACAGCTGAGCAGGCACTGGCAGAGCACAGGCGACTCTCCCTTGCTGCTTCCCTGTGTGGTTCTGGTGCTGTACCTGAGCTGGGCTGGATAAGGAATGCGTTCTTCTCGTTGCCACTGATGATGCTGTATGTGATGCGCCCAGAAGAGCCCCCCATGTGCACAGCTTGGATGCTTGCGACAGCAGTACCTGGAAAGACAGGAAGCAGTGTTGGATGGGCAGCACAGTCTCAGGGCACACTGAGGGTCAGGATGGTTTATAGGTAGCACATGTCATACCACAGGAACGCAGCCCTGCCTGATGACACTGCTGTCAAAGTACGTGAGAACCAATGGTAAACTCTGGGCTGGAGATGAGACTCCTGGGGCCTGTCTACGGCCCTCCTATGATCTCAGTGTGAACCCTGCAGCCATTCCACCAGCAAGTGGGCACTGTGACTGCCCACAGCAATCAGAACGTCTTGAGGCAAAGGCTCACAGGATTATCACCCCCAACACCCTGGGCTCAATCAGGCCCCGCCATCCCCCTGGGTCTACCCAAAGCATGACACGACTTCCTAAGGTCTGAGTTCCAGCCCACGGAACTATTCTAGCTTGTCACCCACCTCCCCCCCATCCCATCCCACTCCATCTCAGCTTGCACTGAGCGTTCTGCCCAGCAGACACCTGGAGCAGCATTTTCTGGCAGGACCACTTCATTGGTGCTCCGGGGAAAGCGCAGCCCCCGGTAGGGCTCTTCCTGCAGATGGATCACCACTACACCAGTGGACGAAAGCGCCGGCTGCCCCAGGTCCGTGGCCAGGACGAAGAGTGTCCGCTGGCGCTGGCTGAGTGAGCTCAGGGGCTGCAGCAGCTGGATATCCCCTGTGTAGGAGTTGATTGAGAAGGCCGAGTTCGGGGTGGCAAGGCGATACAGAATGGAGGCATTGGCACCCGCATCCCTGTCCTCCGCCCTCATGGTGGCCACGACTTGCTTGAGCGGCGTGTGGCGAGACAAGCTGACAGTGAGCGGGCTGTGCAGGAAGGCAGGAGCGTGGTCATTGACATCCCGCACCGTGACCGTGACACGCACAGCCGCGCTTTTGGGCTCCCATGGTGCTGAGTCCACAGCCTTGGCCAGAAAGCTGTAAGTTGGCTGGCGTTCCCGGTCCAACTCCTGGGCACTTGTGATGCGTCCGCTCTGCGGCTCCACCTGGAACATGCCCAGGGACTCATTGCCCAGGTAGTAGGTGACCTGCCCGTTGGTGCCCTCATCGGGGTCCTTGGCTTCCAGCTGCAGCACCAGGGAGCCAACAGGCAAATCCTCGGGCACCTCCACCATGTAGCTGGCTTGAGCAAAACCAGGAGCGTTGTCATTTAAGTCCAACACCTGCACATTCACTGACATGGTTGCACTGCGTGGTGGGGTGCCGTGGTCTTGAACCACTACTGTGAGGCTGTAGAAAGCAACTTGCTCTCGGTCGAGGGCACGTGCAGTGGAGAGCACACCAGAGACAGGGTCTAAGATGAAATCCTGCTCAGGATCTCCATCTAGAAGAGAGAAGGAACAGCAAGACAGCATGACTGTACACTTGAAGTTGGCACAGAGAGGGTCCTGGACTATGCTGCCTGGGATGGTAGTGAGCTGGTGTCTGTAAGGCCCCTGTGGGACTGAACCTCCTCAGGCCCAGAGTGTGTGTTTGAGTACGTGTGTTGTGCAGGAACAGGCTCCACCAGCTCACTGACCAGTGCAATGCCACAGTAAGACAAGGCATGACAGCAAAGACTCGGCAATCCATAAATTCCACAGGCCATAGCAAGCAAGAGAGGTACGGAGCCAGTCTGAACCTGGGGAAACGGACAGAGTGTGAGCAATGCAGCCTGTGCACATCCTGGAGTGCTTTTCACTGCGGCAGAGGAATCAGAAGGTTGAGAGAAGGGAACAGCTACTCGTGGTCCAGGGCAGGAGAGAAATGATGCAGAACAGGAATTGCCAGAGGTGATGCTTCCCAGAACTCCTGGCAACCCGTGGTGAGCAGCCATTACTCTCTCCAAGAACGGAGCTACAGAGCTCCCGCGCCCCTGTGCTCACCTGCCACGCGGTACTCCAAGCGCCCGTTCTCGTCTCCGTCAGGGTCAGTGGCACGCAGGGTGTAGAGCGCCACGCGGCTCTGGTTCTCAGGGACCTCCACAGAGCAGGACTCACTCTCCAGCTGCGGTGTGTGGTCGTTCTCATCCCCTACTGTTATCCGCACAGTTGCCTTGGAGAGGTTGGGGGGCAGGCCACCATCCCGGGCATAGACTGCAGGAGCACAGCAAGAGTGCTGCAGAGTATGCTGCAGACTGGGAGCTACAATCAGAGCCACCACGGGCGGCCGTCCAGGCAGTCACAGGGCAGCAAAGAATGGGAGCGCTGCCATTTCTGTATGCCCGAATCACCCAACAACGCCGCGTGCTCCACAAACCTCCATTACTTCCCACATCCTGCCCTCCTTGCAGTGCTGCTCTATCCCAAAAGCAGACAAAGTGCATCTGCCTGCTCCGTGCCCTCCACCTCTCCCTCCCCAGTGCCTGCTGCTCCCTCCCATGCCCCAGCACAGCCGTACCCATCAGCACATGCTGCTCCTGCTCCTCACGGTCCAAGGGATGCGTGGTGACAATGAGACCTGTCTGCGGGTGGATGGAGAACGGCCCCCCAGAGAGACCTCCATAGGTCACCTGTCCGTTGGCACCTGCAGGAGAAGCACGTTTGAAGGTAACCCAGTAGCAACACCAAGAACCTCTCACTTGGCTCACAGCCCTGTACTTCCTTCCTCCCAGGGGTGACACTGAGGAAGGGGGTGATCTGACGCCATAGCAAGTAAAGGCGTGGGGAGAGATGTGTGGTGGAGGGAAGCCTCAGCCCTGTTCAGCTTGTGGAAGACAGGACAACAAATCTCCAAAGAACAAAGGGCACTGACTTGGGAAGCACAGGGAATTGCAGCCCCTGTTCTTCTCCTCAGCTTCTTCCCAGGTCTGTCCCATCCCTCATTGCCAGGTCAGCCGATCGTCCCTCCCTCCATTGTCAAACATGCACTGCAAACCAGGCAGGAGGGAGCACATCTTGTCCCGTGTGCTGTGTCTCCAGAAGGTCCCTGATTGAACCCTGCATCCTCACCCAGGTCCCGGTCTGTGGCCAGCACCTGCAGGACAGGGCTGCCAGCTGGAAGGTTCTCCGTGATGTGCGCCTCGTACTCAGGCTTCTCAAAGGTGGGAGCTTCATCATTGACATCCAGCACCAGTATGGAGAGTAGCTGTGTGGCCGAACGGCGCGGGAAGCCATGGTCAGCAGCCACCACAGTCAGGTTGTGTTGCACCACCTCCTCACGGTTCAGAGCCCGCACAACAGAGAGAGCACCTACAGACACGGGGAGAGGGGTGAGCAGGGTGAGCAGGGATCATTGGCCTTGAGGCCAACCACCCCCGGACAGAGTGTTGCAAGTCTGCAGGGATGGAGGGGAGCCAGGGCAGCCAGGTCTCAAGACAGCAGGGTCACCTCAGCCAGGTGTGCACCCCACAAATTCTTCACAACTTCAGGTGACCTCAACTCTCCGGCCTACACTCTCCTGCATGTGCAACATCCCCACATCTGCCTGCACCCTGCCCAGCCCCCACAATCCAGTGTCACCCTGCACCCTGCCCAGACCCCACAATGCAGTGTCACCCTGCACCCTGCCCAGGCTCTCACCGGTGCTGGGGTTGAGGTGGAAGCGCCCATCGCTGTTGCCCGCTCGCAGTGAGTAGCTCACTCGTCCATTCTCTCCCAGATCGTTGTCCTGGGCCACCACATGCAGAGCCACAAACCCAGTCGGCCGGTCCTCGGTGACGCTGATGGCAGCGGGCGACAGGAAGACGGGCGCGTTGTCGTTCACGTCGGTCACGAACACACGCGCCGTCACAGCGGACGAACGGCGCTGGCTGACGTTGCGGGCCTGGTCCGTGGCCTCCACCACCAGGAGGAAGGAGGCCACGGCCTCGCGGTCGAGGCTCTGGCGAAGGCTCAGCAGCCCCGAGCGGCCGTCGAGCTGGAAAGGGCCCCCCGGGGGCTCCTGGCGCAGCAGCGCGTAGCGCACCTGGCTGTTGGGGCCGGCCCCGTCCCCATCCAGAGCCTGGAAGGTGAAGACAGACGAGCCGGCCTGCGCGTCCTCGGGCACCACGATGGTGATGGGGTCTTCGGGGAAGGTGGGCGCCTGGTCGTTGCAGTCCTGCACGTGGATCTGCACCAGCACCAGCCGGCTGGACGGGTAGCCGTGCTGCGTGTCCTCGGCGCTCACTTGCAGCGTGTGCCGGGCCCCGGCCTCGTAATCCAGCTCCCGGGCGGCGTAGATCTCCCCTGTCACGCTGTCAACAACAAAAGTGCCGTCCCCGCCACCTCCTACCACCGTGTAGGTCAGCTGTCCCCGGGCAGGGGCATCGGGGGGGGCCACTGAGCCGATCACAGAGCCCGGCCTGACCCCCTCCGGGGGGTGCAGCGTCAGCACGGTGGCATCGGGTCTGGGCAGCAAGCGGGAGGAGGGCAGCACCTGCGAGGAGAGGAGAGACAGCAGTCAGGGATGCGCTCTGGGAGGGATGCTGGGGAGCCGGTGGAGAGGGGACGCGCAGACTGCAGGTTCAGGGAGGCCAGGTCACAAGTCTTGTGGCCTGAAAAATACACGGAGAATGAGCACAGGCTTGACAAGGTGAAAGACGAGCTTCACCTGGGGAGCTATGGCAGGTAAGGACAGAGCTGCTGACTGAGCAGAGAAGGTTCTGGGGCACCAGTGTATGTGAGTATCTGAAGAGAGAGTGTATGGCTCTTTTCTGAGGATAAGGAAAAGGCAGAGGTTCTGAATGCCTTCTTTACATCTGTCTTTAAAAGTCAGACCAGTTATCCTCGGGATACTCCTCTCTCTGGAATGGACTGCCAAGGGAGGTGGTGGAGTCACCGAGCCTGGGGGTGTTCAAGGAAAGGCTGGATGTTGTGTTGAGGGACGTGGTTTAGTAGGAGCTATTGGGAATAGGTGAACGGTTGGACTGGGTGATCTTTTAGGTCTTTTCCAACCTTGGTGATTCTATGATTCTATGATTCCGTGGCACCCAGCGAGAAGACAGGTTTCACTGGGCACAAATGAGAGCGCAGTAGGTTCCACCTTGACACCAGGAAGGTCCTTCTGTATGGGTGGGTAACTGAGCACTGGCACAGGCTGCCGAGGGAGGTTTCCATCCATGGAGACCTTCAGAAATCACCAGGACGTGGTTCTGAGCAAGCAGCTCTGGGTGGCCTGCAGCAGGGAGTGGAGCAGATGGCCACAGATGTGCCTGCAGCCTCAGCTGTGCTGTGATCCTGTGAGTGGGTTAGGTACTGCAATGGGAACAGTTGCCAGCAGAAACAGCTTTGAAGTGAAGTAATTTCAATCAGATGAGTGGTACAGAGAAGATAATTTAGTATGATCCAACGATACATGAATACTATTATTACTCTAATTAAAGATACTGCTATTAATTCAGGGGTGACAGTGAAAAGCAGCAGTGCCATCTGATGGGAACGTATCTCGAAAAAGTCAGTGCACTCATGTGAAAGAGCTGGGAAAAAGAGAATCCAGCAAAACTATCAACCTGGAGGAGTATCAGAACCAGTGACTGTCAAGCTCCATTATGGGAATGCAAACAAGCAATTCAGCCTGGTCTCATTACTTTGAAGGCTGCAGAAGAACTTCAAAGACAAGAACAGCTACAGACGTGGCATAAAAAGGAAATGTTTTCAAAACGTGTTGTGGAATGGCTGAAGGCAGATGTGCCAGTCTAACATGGGACTTCTCAAGCACAACGGAAATACAGCGAGTCTAATTTAATGTAATAATAAAAGGAAGCTGCGTACACGATGGGCTCACTGAGAGTGTTATGGGCACTGCCTGCACTCTGTGCAGCAGAGCATCAGATGGGAACATGGAGCGGTGATGGAACTGCAACGACACGACAGGATGTGAAACGGCACACCATGAAAGTGCATCGGCTGCAGGGAAGCTGGAGTCTGCTGTCCAATTAAGCTCATTACTAACAACGGGGAAAGGAGTTGGCGATCTGAGCCAACACACCAGACAGTGAGCACCACAGTTGGGCAGACATGAAGAAAACCCCACATGCCTGGAGAAAAAAATGCCAGGAGGAATTAACGTCTCCGGGCCGGAGAATTCTAAGATCTTCCCCACAAAAGCACATCTAGGACAGGGCGGACTGTCCAAGTCTGGAGAAGACAAGTGTTCAGACTTTGTGAACGAGGATTCATGCACAGTGGCCACCAGACCCATCCTTTCCCATCCCACGTCCTCCACACAGATGCTGAGGCCGGTGCAACAGCTGAGCAAAGGCAATGGCTGCTCTGGGTGGAGAGTAAGGACGGTACAGAGGAATGCTGTAAGTAGCTGCATGGTGTCCTCTGAGAGGTGAGCAAGGGGTGGATGGTGCAGGGCCCAGAGCGGTTGGGGATACCTGGACACGAACGACGGCTGAGGTGCTGCAGGGCACCATGCCCCGGTCGCTGGCCGTCACAGTGAAGACGTACTCAGCACGGTCGGAGCGGCGCAGCACCGTGGCAGTCCGCAGCTCCCCAGTGGCCGTGTGCAGTGTGAAACGCTCTGCCCAGGCTCCTGCGGAGAGAAGGTGAAATGCTGCAGAGAGAGGAGGGAGGGTGGGGGCACGCGGGGATGGAGGAGAGAACGTGCTGTGGCAGAGCATCCGTGTGCCTCTGAGGGTCACGGCTGCATGCCGAAAGCCAGGCTGGCAGCTCGTACCTATCAGTGAGTAGGTGATGGTCCCATTCTCACCCTCGTCAGGGTCCTTGGCTTGCAGCGAGGCAACAAGAAGTCCCGACGGCTTCTCTTCCAGCACCTGCAGAACAGCCCAGGGAGCAACTGAGTGACATCCTTCACACCATCCCCGAGACCCCAGCGCAGCAGCATCGACACCTTCCTACACCCATCCTGCACCTCACCCAGGGCACAGCGCCCCAGCCAAGACCCATAGGCTGTGCCTGAGGCTGGGTGATGTGGGGAAGCTTACAGACGAGCAGGTGGAGGGGGGTCCTGCCCTACCAACTGTCCTGTGATGCCACAAGGCTTAGTGCAGCTCAACAGCCTTGGTGCATGCTGCAGTGGTGAAGTATAGGGTGATGGAGGGACACTGCCCGTGTTACAGCCAAGGCCTCTGCAGTGAGGAAAATCCCCTCCGCCCCAGAAGAGCCCTTCAGAGGGAAATGTTTGAGCACTTCCCATCCTGGAAATGGAGAGAGTTCCTTCAGCTCCCATCAGCCACTACAGGTGGTTCATGGTCCCTGGAAATGCAGCAGGCAGTTCTTCCTGCACCCACACTCTGACTCTTTGGGCCTTTCCCTCCTCTCCTTTGCTCCCATCTAGCGCTGCTCTCTGTAGGATTTAAGGCTACCATTTTGTGTCAGTGCACCATGTGCTCAGCTAACCCCACACTCTGGGCTTCCTGACAGAAGCCACATGGAGCAGCACCGCATGGAAGCTCCCTTCCTGGACAGCTGTCAAAATGGACACATCCCCATTACAGACCCTCCCCATTCATCATTTGGGGTCCCTCAGTGCCCCACACCTGCTGGCAGACTGTTCCTTCCCTGGCACAGACTCTTGCACCTCCCCACACCCCTGCAGCAGAGCAGGAGCCCTACTCAGCACAGACTGCGACCCGTTCCCATCAGTACAAGACTGTCACAGACCAAATCTCATCCTACAGCACAAACCATGCTCAAAGACCCAGCTCTCTGACCTCCGTGTTGTACCACTTCAACGCATGCATGCATGCAAAAGGCAAACACAATCCATGCAAGAATGTAAGGGAAGAGGCTGCAGGCCCTCGGGAGGAAGCATGTGCTAACACTGCTGCACAAGCTGTTGGCACAACGCTGGTGGTGCTCTGGGGGGGGGAAGGGGGGGACAGAGGAGCTGGACTTGTTTATCCAGGCCAAGCAGTGATGTGACTGTACTCTGTAAACACTGGGGAAAGGGGAGGGAAATTCCAAGGAGAGAGAAGAGCTCTCTAAGCAAAAACACAATATTGGCACAAGAACAAATGAGTATAAAGTGGTCAGAAATTAGTTTAGGCTGGAAATTAAGAGATGGTTTCTAACTACTAGATCAAGGAATCTGGAACAGCATTTTGCAGCAGTGATGGAGGCAGAGACCTTCTAAATATAGCTGGCTGTTTATGAGGAGGACTGTCTGCGTGGACACCTCAGAACTGTGCTTGAGAAGACCCCTCCAAGCCCCTCTCCGCTCCAGGCTGGGGCAGGGCTTTCTCCTCGTGCTGTTCCTAAGGGCCTTCAACTGAGATGCAAAGGGCTCCCACGTTGTGCACAAAGCCACACTGCTCGTCCACCAGGAATCAAACTCCATTTGAGAAAGCAGTGACTCAGCGGGGGAGCGAAACAAGCATCATCTGCACGGGCTGCGTTAGAAACGCCATTTCAGATGCTCCGAGGAATCAACAGCAACAGAAGCGGTTTTGCCTCTGCAAAAGCCTCAACTTCAGTAAAACTCCTGCCAGGCAGCGGCGTGCAGCTCAGATGCCCGCTCTGCAAAGGCTGCTGCAAATGCCAGCCTGGCCCACAGCTCAGAACCGCCTCGACGAGGGGCACGGCTCCGGGAGCGGCAGCAGCGGATACAGAGAGGATGCGAGAAGTACGGAGCGACTCTCCTGCGAAAAACCTTCCAGCTTCCAGCAGCCTGTGGTTCAGTCACTTCCTGAGCCACACATCGTATTTTTGTTCAACGGACTTTGATGGATTTTTTTCCTTTCCATGAATTCATCTAATTTTGAACCCATGCGACTTTTGGCAATGATTTCACGTTTTAATTACGCTCCGCATGAGGAAGTTCTGTCTTTGTTTATTTTAAACCTGCTGCCCGGTCATTTGCTACCAAGCTGCCTAGTTTTTGTACCGTGAAAAAAGGACCTTCGATTTCCACACGACTTTCTTTGCACCACTCAGGGCACACCTTGGATGTATGTTCCCACAGTTTCTATCATGCCAAAGAATGTTCAAATATTTTCTATCTGCATGAAAACCATTATCTACCGAGATCACATCAACACTCCTTTCTCAAGCCTTCTTAGCACTACTGCTGCTTCAGAGCGATGGGGGCAGAGCAGAGAGCGTACGCAGAATTGGAGATGCAAGGTTTTCTTCCAGTCTCTGCTCCTTTCTGATAAAACCCAGCATTTCTGACCGCTGCCGAGACCTGAGCTGACATTTTCAAAATGCACTTACAGCAATGCCTCAATTTTCTCCCTAAGCTTCAGCAGCCAGCTCAGAGCCCATCGCTGTGCAGAGTGAAATTTGTGCTGCTTTTCGCCACGTATGTTATCGCTTCCCAGTTAGAAACAGCGAATGCCATCTTCCATCTTCTTTCCTCACTGAACAGTAAAAGATCCTTCTGCTGTTCTTCACTGCGAGACCTCAGCTTTATTACCACAAATAAAGCAGGAACGTCAGCAAACAGCCACCTGTCCTGGAGGGCATAGCAAGATGCTGAATAGCAGGAACTCCAGCAGCAGCCCTGGGCGCTGCCAGCGGCATCTCTGCTACTGAAGCAGGTATTGACCCCCTGCTGGTCTCTCTCCTTTTCCTGGTGGCTGCGCCCTGGCAGGACCCAGTAATACACAGAGTTTGTTTCTGCCATCCCTGTGTGAACGGCTCCTGGAGCTGACACACACTGCCCACGTGTTGAGAAACAAATCTCACAGACCCGCAGTGGAGAGGCCAACCCAGCTCTCGCCTGGAGCCAAGCATCGATACAGAAGATACAGAAGCCTCCCGCTGCTTTGCTTGGTGAGCATGAATACGAGAAGTTCACTGAGCACATTGCCAGCAAATCACAGAATCACAGAATTGTAGGGGTTGGAAGGGACCTCCAGAGATCATCGAGTCCAACCCCCTGCCAAAGCAGGTTCCCTACAGCAGGTCGCACAGGTCGGCATCCAGGCAGGTCTTGAACATCTCCAGAGAAGGAGACTCCACCACCTCCCTGGGCAGCCTGTTCCAGTGAAATCCAGTGAAATCTCCAAGTTTATGCCTGTTGTTTAGTTTCTCCTTTTTTCTCCAAGCCTTTCTTACACACCCAGATCATCCAAGAAACCTCTTCCTGTGCTTTACTTCTCTTTCAGTGTTTCCTACCAGGAAAGCTTAAAATCAAAGCGTACAGATAAGAACCTGCTTCAAACTCCCATCACATTTACCTGCCCTCCCAATTCTAAATACATCTCAGCCATGCTCTATCTCCTTAAGGATGCATATGCTTTTGTGGTACCTCTGCAAGAAAAGAGACCTCCCAGGTTCTAAAACACTGAGTGTCTCATGGCCCAAATGCTGCACACATCTGTTGCAGGTGTCCCCACACAGAACACTCAGCAGACCACAGACAGTGAGCAGTCTTTCAGCCTGCCATGCTTTAAGGTGCACTTCAAGTCCATCCGTTCTGCTGCAGAGGCTCCCCATTGCACAGAGATGAGAGCAGGCCTTTCGTCACGCACGCCATTGCGCTGCTGTGTCCTGGCCACACACCACTGCAGAGGGGCCAAGCAGAGCAGTGCTGGGGGACAAGGGGACAAGGCCTGGTCCTTCCCTTCAGCAGCGCAGACATGACTCAGAGCAGAACTCTCGGCGCTGGCTGACCTTGGTCACCACGTCACATTAAAGGGAAAGCTGGGCAGGGACCCATTGCAGATTCTCAACAACCTGAGGAGCGCTTTCTTGGCCTCCCAGAAACCAAAGTGGCCACTGTGAAGGTCCTGAGACCCAGAATACAAACATACCCCAAGCCTCCCCATCCATCAGTGCTCCACTCTCGGCTCCATCAGTTCAGGTTTAGGGCTTCCTCCCACTTTCCCTCTTTGCAGGCAGGTGTGAACCCAGACCTTCTGCCTGCTGTTGGCCCCAGAGCCCTTTGCAAGCCTTACTCACTCTGTGCACAAGGTCTGTATTCCCCAAGGACGTGCTCATCTCATCACACCCTCCCTGAGATTTGCCAGGCTGCCCTGACTGTTGCATGCAAGCAACCTGTGCCTTCTCATCTCTCACCACGAGACTCTGCTCTGCCCTCACCCTCCCCAGCCTGCCCCCAGCCCAGCCCACCAGGGCCTCAGCCGCTCCACCTACCTGCACGGTCAGCTCCTGGCCAGCAGGGATATGAAGAAAAGCAGGAGCGTTGTCGTTCTCATCCAGCACAGTGACATAGATGGTTCCCGTGGCACTGCGGGGCGGTGCTCCTCCATCCTGCACAATCACCAGCAGCTGGTAGCTGGACTGCAGCTCCCGGTCCAAGCTGTGCTTGGTGCTGAGCTCCCCTGCAAGGGAGAAACAGGGACACAGCTCAGCCCCAGAATCTCTTTAGAAAAGGACTTAAGTGTCAGGGAGCCCAACACCACAGGGGTAGGAAAATGAGTAATTTATGGTGGCACTGGCTTGGTCTGCATCACTTCTGACACGCTCTGAGCTCTCACCTCCATCAGCCCAGGAAGCCAGGGGGACTCTCACCTGTCTGCGTGTGGATGAGGAAATTGGAGTCGTGCTGGAGCAGGCGGTAGGTGAGACGGCTGTTCTGCCCAGCGTCCCGATCGCTTGCCATCACCCTCCCTACGCTGCTGCCAGGAGCCTGGTTCTCAGGAACAGTGAAGAAGTACCGCTCCTCACTCAGCCGGGGGCTGTTGTCGTTCTCATCAGTGATGCTGATCCGTACGGTGCTGGTGCCCGTTTTCCGGGCTTCCCCCCCTGAGCCGCCGCCTCCTGCCGACGCCAGCACTGTGAGAACATACAGGTCTCGCGTCTCCCGGTCCAGGGCGCTTTTGACATACAGCCAACCGCTCTCAGACATGATGCCAAAGCTGGCAGCATCTCCATCTGCACGCAAGTGGTAAGTCAGGGTCACAGCTTCTGCATCCCGTGCCAGGGCCCGCACCTGCAGGAAGCGGGTGGAGACAGGCACGCCTTCCCGCACCTCCACACGGTAGGTGAGCGTGTCAAAGATGGGCCCGTTGTCGTGCTCAGCCTGCACGTGCACCAGGAGCGTGAAGGTGGAGCTGAGCTGGGGCACGCCGCTGTCTCGGGCCGCGATGGCCAACCTGTAGGCTGCGCTGGCTTCGTACTGCAGCGCCCCGGCCAGCCGCACCGCCCCCGACGAGCGCTCGACGCTGAAGGTGCCTTCGCCTCCTGACACCAGCTCAAAATTCACCTGGCCGTTGGCACCGCTGTCACGGTCCTCGGCCTGCAAAGTGTACACTGTAGTCCCGGGCTCAGTGGCCTCTGGCAGCAGAATGGAGTCAGAGGGAGAAGGGAATGCTGGCGCGTTGTCATTCACGTCTGACACGGAGATTTTCACGCGGGTGTTGCTGTAGGCCGGGGGGGAACCACTGCGGGCCTGGACATCCAGAACCAGGACCGCCTGAGACTCGTGATCCAGAGGCAAGCTGGTGCGGAGCTGCCCAGAGTCGGAGTCAATGGAAAAGTAGCCATGAGGATCCCCCGAGGAGATGGAATAAAAGATGTCATCGGTGTGACCTGCAGGCAAGGCAGTGAAAACAGCAATTATTCGCGAACCTGGCTTTCGGCCCGCTGAAGGGAGTAGAAGAGCAGGGCAGTGCTGTCTGGGGCAGGCTCTGCTCTGGAGGAGTACAGCAGCAGCGTGCACTGTATGTGAGATGCGTGGGCACACGTGTGTACACACAGGAGCACGTGTGGGAGCATGCACTGCAGCTGAGGGACACGGGGTGCGCGTTCACGTGTGCGTGCATCTGCGTGTGCACGGAGCTCCCAGGACGATGCTGCTCTCCGAGGAAGCGTAGAATCACTGCTTTGAGACAACGCGGGGACAGTGAAAACAGCTGCATAGGAAAGGGCAAAGCCGTACCGGGAGGATTTTGGGCACGGACAGCCCCCACGGTGGCGCCCTGCAGCGTGTCCTCCGGCACTGTGAAGAAGTACTGAGCTTGCTCAAAGACAGGCGGTGAGACCGTGCCCTCCACGATGCTGATGTTGACTCGGGCATTCGGCTGCGCCTGCAGGCCCCCTCCATCTTCTGCAGAGATCACCAGCTGCACCAGGGTGTTGGCTTTACCGCTCAGGGACCACGAGAGAGAGATGACACCTAGGAAAGAGAGGCGTTCAGGGTGCGCTGTGCCCACGGCCCTGCCCATCATCCGGCACCAAAGGAGCAAGCAGACTGAAATGGGCAGCAAACAGTGTGTGTCACAGGGCAACTGGCCGTGGAAGAATCGGAGTAAAGAAGACAAATATTCCTGGGGAAGGCTTCCCAAATTCTCCCTTCTTGATCTCAAGCCCAGCCCCAAGCTAAGCAGCTATGAGGGCTGCAGTAAGCAAGCCAGAGAGAAAGTCTTGCAGAAGGGGAAGGATGGAGTAGGATTTCAGAGGTGGGGCACAGGGTGAGGGCCAGAATCTAGCAAGGGCAGGTTGGTTCTGTGCTGCGAGCCTCCTGGAAGAAATACAGAGCTGAATGACCTTCCCAGACAGGCCCTACAAAGGAGGTTGCCCCTGTGTAATGGTAGCCAATTGGCCTGTTTCATCCCAGATACATTCTGGCAATCTAGTGTGGGGAGACCTGATGCCTGTAGCGAGCACAGAACACCATCCTGTCCCTCTGAGAGCCCCTGGCATCACACAACCATGTACTCATTCCCCCACGCGGAAACTGTTCTGGCTTTGGTGGCCAAAGAAGGCAAGCATTGAGAGGTCAACGAGAAAGGTTAGACTAGGAGAGCAATAGAAGGGAGGGAGAGTAAACTGAGCAGGGAGAGGAGGGAATTAAGCAGGGGCAAAAAACTAAGCAGGATACAGTTTGATGGGGCAAAGCAAGCACTGTGCAGGAGGAAAGGTGTAGGGAGACATTGAAGAACAGGGAAGAAGAGAGCAAAGAGAAGAAATAAGGAATCAGAAATTGAGAATGGGCAGCCAGAGGATCAAGAAGTTGGAACAAGGACAAAATAGGAGAGCAATAGACATTCTGGTAGCATCTTGCACAGCTGAAATGGCCAAGCAGTAACTCTCAGGCTACTCTTCACATCTTCCTGCATCACACTGCTCTGCCTGGTGCTGCCTTTGGCTGGCCGTGAGTTCACTCTCACCTGTGTCCTTGTTGAGGGAGAAGAGGGGGGGCGAGTTCCCCAGGACGATGCGATAGGTCACTCTGCCATGCATCCCCTCATCCTTGTCGTGGGCAGTAACACGCAGCACAGCTGTGCCCGGCATGCTTTGTGTGCTGATGCTGGCAGCATACTCCAGTGGGTAGAACACCGGCCGATTGTCATTTATGTCCTCCAGGAAAACCTTCACATACACCATGGAGTTCAAGCCACCCTGTGGAAGGACGATAGAACCATAGAATGGCTTGGATTGGAAGGGATCTCAAGGATCAACAGGTTCCAATCCCCCTGCTGCAGGCAGGGTTGCCTACTGCTAGATCAAGTATTAGACCAGGTTGCCCAAGGCTCCATCCAACCTGGCCTTTAACATCTCCAGGGATGGGTTGTCCACAACCTCTTGGGGCAACCTGTTCCAGCACCTCCCTGCCCCCTCAGTGATCAGAGATGGGGCAGAGAACAGGGCAAGAGCCCTGTATCCTCTGTACGGTGCGGAGACAGCAGCACTGTATGGCCACGAGCTCTGCAGCACTCACCCCATCCACAGCAGTGATGGTGAAATCGTAGGCAGACGTGCCCTCGTCGCGGTCCAGGGGCTGCGCAGTGCACAGATGCCCCGTGTGCTTGTCGATGCTGAACTGCGTCGGGACCACGCTGCCGATGCCAGAACCAAGAGAGTACGAAAGGGTCCCAAACAAGCCGCTGTCGGCATCGGTGGCTGTCACCTGGAAGGGGGAAGGCACTACGTGAGCGAGGTAACACTGCTGAGACCACCAGCCTGAGCAGATGGACCCAGCCCACCACCACCACCTCCACAACCCACTGCTGCCCTCCATTGCACAGCCCAAAACCACTGCGCAGCTCTCAAAGCTGGCCACAGTGAAGCACGCTGACCGCTGTGTCTCAGCCCTGCCATTCTTGTCCTAGACAAGGTGACTTCCACTGCAGCACTCCCTGGAGGGCCCATGGTGCCTGGAGCAATGTGCAGGCAGCAGCGGGGCACACCGGGGTCAGCCTACGTCCCCAGAAGACACAGGGCTGGGAAGCACAGGCTGTCAGACTCGTTAGAGCTGCACCACGCTTGCCGTCTGCAGTGCTGCCACAGGTGCACACAGGTGCTGCCACCGTGCAGCCACCAGAGGCGGTTTGTTCCAGGTGTAACCTCTGTTCTTGCACCACTGGGGCAACATCCACGACCCAGATCCACTGACTTCCCTTAGCAAACAAAAAGGCTGTATGGGAGGGGGTGCAGAAAAGCACACAGATGCCAAAGATCTAGCAGCCAAGCATCCCCACTGCACCCAGCCTGAGCAGCCAGCCGGAGACAAGCCATGCTTTTGCAGCTGCTGGACGTGGCCTTCCGCTCATTCTCTTTTGCAAGCTTGTCTTAAACTGGGAAGAAAACCCTCCTTCCCCATGCCCCAGGTCCCATCCTGTCCTCAGAGCTCTGTGCCCAGCAGCCCTGGGCTCCAAGGGGTACAGCGGGCTGGCACTGCCCTCTGGCAACCAGGCCCAGCCAAACCTGTGGCACAGGATTTACAGCAGCAGTTGCAGTCACAGCAGGGGGATTAAAACAGCTCCTGCCTGCAAGGTCCCATTCTGCCTTGGGTTCCTTGCAGCTCAGGCTAGCAGAAAACAGCTTCCCCCTGGCCGCAGCATCACTGTCCACGGCTCGTCCACCAGCTGGGAGCTCTGAGTGGAGAACAAAGCTGGAGCACGAAGCCAGGAGGGAGGCAGCTGGGCCAGGCCCGGGTGAAGTGGAGTTCAGGCCTCGTCAGCCACAGCTCCTCCCAGCAGCAGCGCTGGGGCCTCGGCTCCCGTGAGCAAGAAGCGCAGGAACGTTGCACACGCGCCAAGGAAAGGGCCCAGCTGGGGGCTGCAAACAGTTCCTTCCTACGGGCAGGGCCCCCAACCTGAGCCACTACCAGATCCTCGGAGATGGAGGAACGACCAGAGTGCACAGAGGCTGCCGGGCCAGGGAACACAAAATGAAGCATGCCCTTCGTCAGGCCTCGTGTTCCTGCCCCTGGGAGTAGAGGCAGCAGCTGGGGGAGCCCCTCGCCAGCTCTCCGGCCGGCACCCACAGCCCCGGGAGGGCAGTCAGCACCTGCAGCGCCCTGCAGCCCTGCCTGCAGGCCTGGGCTCCCCTGCAGGGGAGGGGGGGAAGCTGAGAGCACAGTGAACACTTTGCTCCTCGCAGAGGGACTGGATTTGCTCCTCAGCCCTATGGCACAGCTGGAAGATGCGCCAGGGAGCAGGATTCCTCCTTTCTCCTTTCTGCTCCAGCTGCAGAGCACTCAGAGCCTCAGGTGCCGTGACAGCAGCCTGTCCAGAACACACTGGGGAACTGAGCCCACTGCCTCCCTCTCTGTTCAGCTTCTTCCCTCTCCCCATCCCAGCTCCCTCCAACGCAGCACCAGCAGCATCAGGTTAGAGATGCTTGGTGGTGTTCAAGGCCAGGCTTGACGGGTTTCTGGGCAGTCTGATCCAATGGTTGGCAACCCCGTCAAAAGTAGGGCGTTGGAAATAGATGATCTTTGAGGTCCCTTCCAAGCCAAGCCATTCTGTGACGATTCTACCATGAAGCTCTGGCACAGGGAGTTCAGAGCAGGGCCTGGCTGTCTGCGCAGGGTTGTGGGGCAGGCTGGGCTGAATCCACTGAGTACATATGGTCACTATGCTGAGTATCTGGTTCAAAGGGCCACAGGTGAAATGCAGCACGAATCTGGATGGGATGACTATAAACCTGTGTCATTCAGATCAGAATCCGTCTAGAGACCCAAACATCAAGCTAAGGCTGTCAGGGAGCAAGAGGAGGGTGTTAAGTCAGGGATCTAACGATAAGGACAGTTAGCAGCAGATGGGGCTGCTCATCTGAGAGTATAAATCTGACCTCTCACATTGCTGAAACATTTATTTGAGTTACCTGCACTCTGGCTCCATGCTGAATATCACTATGGGAGAACTGCCCTGTTTCACCTCATTGCAGCTGTGTCATGATAGGGTTTTACTGGGAGCATGCAAAGCCACTGCAGATGGAAACACACCTGAAATGGTTAAGCTGCTATGATGGCTGGGATGGCACTGTGGCAAATTAGTAAGGTCCTTCCTTCAAAAGGAACTGCTTATCACTCCCAAAATACTCTACAATGCATGTCAGCTGCTTTAAAGTGCTGTACAGTGAGAAGCTCTACAGCACGGTACATTGTTTCCTGTAGGCTTCTTTGGCCAAGGATGCTGGTACTTCCAGAACAGCCCAACCTTCCCCATGCTCTGACAATCTCTGTCCCGAGACAGTTATCTGAAGTTATCTGAACTCCAGCTTTCTGCCACAGGGGCTGGGTGGGGTTTTGGGAACAGGGGAGAAGCAGACGAGCTCTCACTATTACACAGCACAACACATCTGCCTGGATGCTCTCTGGTACCTGCAGCTATCTCCCTGCAGGAGTGCCTCAAGCAGTCTGGCATCACAGGCCGGCATCTAGTTGGGTGCAGAGCCAAGGCATACTCACAGACATTCCCCATTCATGTGTGCTTGGCGGCCGGCCTCACCACCCTGCTGCACTGCCTCAGGAAGCAGTGACTGCCTGGGAACAGAGCTCCAGCACAAGCCCTGTCTGCAGGCAGCGTCTCCCAGCGCTGCACACCATGATGGCCACGTCCAGGCCCAGTCTGTAACAGGCTATTGCACTTCTACGTCCTGCAGCATTCCTCAGCCCTATCCACCTCTTGTGTCCCACCCTGCTCCACCACGTCCTAGGCCCCATACGGATGGTTGCATGACTTCTCTGACTGGTACATTTCTGTTGTCACCCCACAGCATCTCTCCTTCACCTCCCTGTATTGTTGGCTTCCTCCACCACTTCTTATCCAGACTGTATCAATAGTGCCCCAAAGTTCTTTGGGGGATGTGCAGAGTTCGCTCCTGACCGGGTGCTGGAGAGCACAGCATGGACTTGGGGCACTCCTCACCTCTGCTGCAGGACAACCCACAAGAAGAGCAACACAGCTCTTCTTACCAGGGAATCTGATAAACACTTCCAAACACCTGAAGGGAGGTGGGAGGTAAATGGATGAGGCCAGGCTCTTCTCGGTGGTGTGCAGCAATAGGACAAAGAGCAGTGACCCAAAATCTGTACAAAGGAAGTTCTGTACTAACAAGCAGAAGTTGTTTTTTTACAGTGAGCTGACAGAGCACTGGCAGAGGTTGCCCAGAGAGGTTGTGGAGTCTCCTTCTATGAAGAAATTCAGGACCCGTCTGCATGCCTCCTTGTGTGACCTCTTGTAGGGACTGTTCAGCTGGTGGTTGGACTCGATGATCTCTTGAGGTCCCTTCCAGCCCCTGTGACCCTGTGGCCCCAACCTGCTGAAGTGTGCTGACAGCACCCTGGTTCAGGGCCAGCCAGAGCTCATTGCTTTCCAGCAGCGTAACAAAAATGCACTTCGCTCTGGAATTCCTTGATTCTGGGTACTGTGATGCTGAACTGTGTAAGCAAAGAATCGCAGTGAAAAATCCAGCACAGGACTTAAAGCACAAGGACACGGATGACGACCCAGTAAGTCCCTGGAGTTGGAGCTGAGACAGCGTGCCAAGGAGGCAGCAGCTCCTGAGGAACATCTCCACATCACAGACCCCAGCTTTCTCTTCAGCTTCCCAGGCCAAGAGAGGGTAACACACAGCTGGATCTGCTGTTTGCTGACAAGGAAGAGTTGACTGAGGATGTGCTGATAATCTAGTGACCATGCACTAGTAGTGTTCAGGATGCTAAAGGGAGCAAGGAAGGAGAGTACCAGGATTCAGACAAAGCAAGACCTCAGCTTCTACAGGGACCTGGTAGGTGTAAGGGACCCCAACTATAAAGGCTAGAAGAACTCAAGAAAGCACGTAAGCCTCCAGGACAGCATCCTCCAGGCACAAGAGCAGCATCCCAGTACTTGTGAAAAACACTGCCTTGGCTAAGCGGAGACCTTGGGGCAAAGCTGCAAAAAGGCAACATATGTGAGGCAAGCTACAAAGAAAGAATTTATAAACACTGCCCAGGAATGTAGTGGTAGTGTCAGGAAAGTCAAAGTTCAAGTGAGGTTGAGACTTGCAAAGCAAATTGAGGATGATAAGAGCTTCTAGCACTACATTGGCAGTAAGAGGCTGAACAACAGCCTGCTGTGAATAGGGTGGGTGGTTTAGTCACAGCAGACACAAGTAAGACTGATGCTCAACGCTTCCTTTACCTCAACCTTCACTAAAAAGTCTTCCAGGCCCTCCATGCTTAATGTCCACATATGAGACAGAGAAGGCAACAGCTTGCACAGACTAAGTCTAAATCATGCCTGAGGAGGCTGCTTGCTTGATCCAGGGCCCAGATGTGCAGGGAAGGGAGAGCAGGGGATGACAACGGCCTTGCCTTGAACGAGGATTTGGGCACTGCGTCCCGCAGTCCTCACACCAAGGCACGGTGCTACGGACAGCTGGGCAGACGGCAAATCGGCTGCGGCTGGGGGGGCTCCGGACGGCGGCTCGGAGCTGAGCCCTGCCTGGAGCCGAGTGGCAGCGCAGCACCACGGGGCTCTGCCCTGGGCCCTCTGCTGCCCAGCATCTGCTCTGTGCGCACGGGGCGCCGCCAGGAGCAAGCGATGGCATCGGCCCTGCTCTGCTCTGCTCCGCCGAACCGCGTGTGGACGCTGCTGCCGGTTCGGGGAAACGCGGGCGCAGGAAAAGACTCGGCCC